TTTCTTTCTTGTCTGATGGAACCTTGTCATCCGTGTGGGAGGTTTTTGATGACATCACATGAACTAAAGATTTTGCCAATAAAGATTTCAACTTGAGGGCAGATTTTAGTCCATGGGGCACCTTGGTCTTCTTGGCATTTCTGTTCTGAAAATATCCAATATCAGATGGAGCCAATGATCCCACAAATCCTCTCCTTGCAGCCCACTGGGGACTTATCTTCAAAAGTCTTTTCATCCATGTATTCTGCTCACTCTCTGGTAAGTCAGACAGTTTCTCATCTGGGAACCATGTACTGCTTGAATCATCTTCTCCATCACTAAAAGATTCCCCTTCCTCAATCATGTACTTTAGTTGTGACTTGGCCACTCCCATATAAGCAAAAAGCCCTTCCACAATGTCCCTTAGAGTTGACTCTTGTCCTCTGGCTGGAGGGTGTGTACATTCTAGCTGAACATCTTCCCCATACTTACAATACCAGTGACATAAATAGGGATCTTTAGGGGACATTGCTCTCTTACACAGAAAACAATCAGGCCGAGCATCCAGCTCTTCTTGGCTTAGGTTGGTCATCATCTTTTTACGATACTCTGCACTCAGTCTCCTGTTAAACCAATCATGCCATTCCTTGTTCTCCTTCTTATCACGTCTATTTTCAGGTTTCTTGCCCTCATCAAGCATCTCCAGGACCCAGGCAGGATTGATCCTCATCATTTCCCACAGCCAGTACTCACACTCAACTGGTCTCATCTCATTCAACTTCTTTTGTGGGAATGTTGTACCTTTACCATTCACCAGTGTTGGGTCGGGCAACTTCATGAAGCCATAGAGAGATTTAACTTCTTCCTGCAGGGTTGCATCTTGACCAGAGATGGGAGGTGTAGCCAAGCCAATCTCAACAGCACGCTCATATTTACACAACCAGTGGTAAGGGTATGGATATTTCATATCTACTGGCCTCTTACATAGAATGCACAAAGGCTTGATACCAGCATCTAGATGTTTCTGCTCCAGAACTGACATCATTGTTCTTGGACATGTTTGAAGAGGTGCTTTGGCTGGGTTCACATCTGTTCCTTTGGATGTTTTGCTGTCATCTTCAGTGGCATTTTGTTGTGGTTTTTGGTTCTTGCCACCCTTTTTGCTAGGCTTTCTGGCATTACGGTTGTTCTTGTCTTTCTTAGGCAGCTTCTGGCGATTTTTTGGTGGCCTCTTCGTCTTTGGTTTCTTTCCATTTGAAGACTGTTCCTGCTGATCCAGAGGGATTTCCTGAAAGGCAGCGTCCCCAGAGAGAGGTACCTCACCAAACCATTTTCCAGTCATTAAAGGAATGTCACCAAAAATAATGTCATCAGGTGACAGTTGAAGCTCTTTATCCTCTTGGCTGGGCTTTGGCTATAAAGGTGTATAGGTTTTGATAAATATGAAGTAATTCATTTGCAATAATTTTGTTATAAAGTTATAATATAAGAACTAACGGTCATTCATAAAGTAATATATGTTTAAATTGTAGGGAAAAAATTCATAAACATCATTTTTTAATCTTTATATGAAAATTCTTGGCTGATAAATAGTTGCTGGAATAATCTGGTAAGGAAAGCTTTTAAAGCATCTTTTCCATTTCTGTTTCACTTGTTATAAAAGTAATTTACCTCTCTCTCTGTCTCTGCAACACCTGTTATACTGGAATAAAATTCAGTAAACAGAATTAAGAAAATGCTTTGCAATATCATTCAGTATTTCTGAAACATAAGTGATTTTTTAAATCAACTATCCATTGTTATTTCAACCTTTACATGGTATGGCCTCAGTTGAGTACAAATTATAAAATAACACATTACTATAATTGTATGCTAAACAGGTGAATGGTTAAAACTTATATAATATTAAATCAACTATGCATATTAAAAACCTCCAAAAAGAGCATCTGATTCAATTATTCTAGTAAAAAAAAAATTGGTAAAAGTGATCTTACTTTGTGGCCCCTTGGCCTCCAGTGGCACCACCCTGTTCACTATTGCCAGCGTCACTTGCATTACTGGCAGCACTGCTACTACAAGAGGCAGTATTGTTGTTGTTTCTATTTCCTTTGAAAATATACACCTCTGAAGAGGATCTTGACCTGCAACATATACAGCTATGAAAATCTGAATCAATTTCTTTCATGGTGAAAATATACTACCAGTTAAAAAAAAATAACTCTGAGCTATAAAAGAATGTTCATTGTAAAATTGAATAATAACCTTTTAATGCTGCCACATATCTCCCCTGCATTATCATTAAGAATCTGACTTCTGCTCTTAGTGGGGATACTGGATAATAGTTTGGGAGCCACATCAATCCGGCTTTTAAAAGGGGAAGCACTGGAGTCTTTGGAGTGTAAATGCTGAACTTGGTTGGCACCCAAGGTTTGAGCTGAAACAATTTCATTTATATAACGTGAATAACATTATAACATTCAAATTAAATAAACATACTATTAAACATACTACACCAACAAACCACTACTTACTTGCCAAAATTGTTATATTTCTATATTTTTAATTGTGTTTTATATTTTTATGTTACTTTCATCAATTTTCAATGATAATAACTTCTTTCATCACCTTTTAATAAACCTTGTGTCTTTTTCTTCTTAATATGGTGGGCCTTTCTTTGATTTTTTTTGGTGACCACCTTGTGCTGTACTGAGGAGGACTTTCCTGTAAAAATATCCTGGCACAGTTCCTCAGATCTTATGTTGCCCAGGACAATTTCACACAAGCAATTTATAAGGCAGATGATGGTGTTGATCAGAAAGGTGAAGAAGAATATGTTAGCTGTCAACTCTACAGCAATTTGGCTGCTGATGGTCAGGAGGGCTGTTTCCACTAACATATTTCCAAGTAAAGAATTGCCAACTGCAGAAAACAGCATCACAAGAGTGAGGGGCCTGGACAGTACTTTGTTGGAATCCTGTCCACTTCCAAAAAATGGATAAATCCATCGATGATACTGACGGAAGAAACATAACATGGAGCTCCACACCAAACTGAAATAAACATGCAAACACATAAAAAATGCTCATCATAACTGTTCAACATAAAAAGCATGAAAAAACATGCAAAACAACACTTATTTTAAAAAATTGTTTCCATTTAAGAAAATTACATTTAAATTAATTTTTTTTCATTTATCAATACATCATAATATCTGGAGATTCTTGCATCTAAAATACCCCACCTGAGTTTAGCAAATTTAAGTTTATTTCAAGAATTTTAGCAAATAAGTTTTTTATTGTGACAAACTTATATACAGCTGCAGGTCCTCTTTAAATTGTGATTTTTATCAATTTTCAGTCAATGTAACATATTTGTGTCATTCCACAAAAAAAAAAAAAAAAAAAAAAAAGGTGACACACATTTTGTTGCTATTTAGACACATTTGCCCCAGGAACTGCCTAATCTCCAGGGCCCGGTTGCACCAACAGGGCGTAAATTTACTCGGCTACGACTGTCGTAAACCGCAACGCCTGGCGTCCGTGCGCCAGGTTTACTCTCCCTGCTTACGCCCGTTGCACCAAGACAAAAACTGATCGTCGCAACTACGCTCGAGTAACGCTCCGTTGCGTCACTGGCCAACAATATGTGGATGGTATAATTGGGCAAATGAGGAGTTCTCAGCTGCAGTCATAATGGAATGATGACATAAATAAACACAAAAGGAGCATTTCAGTGACGGAGAAATTCATGAGCTAAATTATTCCATTTTTGATTTAGAAATAAGAACGTTAAAATACGCTAACTTTGCTGTTGCCTTGGATATATAGCAATAAAATCGTAAATATATTCCAAATCAAAATATTATTATAGTGCGCTATGTATGCTGTTATAGTATGCTGTTGTAAATGAGAAAAACGCGTTGGAGGCAGTACGTATTTCTATTAATGGATTTGAACACCTTCACATTTGTAATCGAAACTATAGAGTCTGAAAATAATGCAAAAAAGCCAGCATTGCTTTCTTTTTATAATTTTACAACAGTGCCGACAATTTCATGACCTTTTTTTATCTATGGTTACACCGTGAGGTATCATTTAATTCAATCGATCTTACATCTTGGAGATTGAGAAATACAAGCGACCTAATACATATTATATGAGCCTTAAAAATGGTGATATTTTAAGCTTTCGTCTCTAGTTTATATACAGTAAAATATGAATGATATAAAATGTGAATAAAAAATGACTATGGTTAGTTATGGTTTGTCAAAATTGTGAAAAGAATTAAAGAAACCGTACTGCTCAGAGCCAAGGCGTGTCGACATGAGTGGTAAGATTTAATTTGAACACATGCATATACATGTACATGGCTATACACATAATGTATTTAATAATCACTTATATATATATAATTAGTTTTTTAAAAACCAGGCTATGCAGACGGAAGTTTTGTGTAAGAAACAAACAAATAACAGCCCACATAATCTACGTTAACTACGATAATTGTCATCAAACTCTCTCTGTGCCAGCCTAGCCATAGTGCAAAACGAGCTACGACCGACTTACTCCACCTAGCTAGCAGGCGTAAATTTACGACAAAGTTAAGACCGACGTAAACACTATTCCAGTTTGGTGCAACTGGCTTTTCTCGGGCGTAACATTTTGCGCCCGGTTTACGCCGGCGCAACTGCTACGCCTCACTTACGACCGGTTGGTGCAACCGGGCCCTGGTGCACTGATATATTCCCAAGTGCCCATGCACATCCATGATGAAAAATATATCAAACACCAAAGTTTCAGGTTCCTCACTCTAATGGCAAAGCAGATAGCAGAATTAAAATGTGAAAAGAATTTAGCATCATCCACCACGGGCAGCCCAAGCCCCAGGCACAGTAAAAATCCAAATTGCCCATGCACATCCCTAATGATAGGTCTATCAATAGGGATACGAGACCATGCTATTTTTAATAACACACGAGATTAAGTAAACTGGGTCCACAAGATGTTGCCTGTTGTAACTGGGCATTTCAGCCCCCACGCATATACTGCCACCAATGGTTGTGGTGACAGAGAATTCTTTATTTTTCTATGTAGCCGCTTATATTATTTATTTAATAGACACATATGATATAAATACAACATCCATCAAGGAATGGATTGTTGTGCTTGAAAAAAAGTCGCATGGTGACAAATAGGTTCATGGACTAAGGGAATACCCTTGTCACATTCCTCAGATATCTACATTTACTACATTTGCTGAGCCAGATATCTACATTTACTACAATCATATCACAGAAAGATCAGTGTGATCATCCAAGACTTCTATGTGCCAAATACCATGTGCTGTCAAAATATGGCAAACACATGTGAGCTGTTCACCTAAGTACATGGCAAAACTGATTTGTGAACAAAAATTAAATAATTATGTAATGTTTTTATTCAATTTTCGGTCTTTTTTCTTATTTATTTAAGAATTGTATAAATCCCTCAATTAGATAATTCAAAGGTATTGTTTTTGCTTTCCAGGGAAGGGTGGGGGTTGTCTTGGGGGGGGGGGG